AGAGGCACAGCATGGCCGCGTAGTGACGGCCCCGACCACTGCCGCTCGACCTGACCGGAGAAAACCGTAGCAGGAAGCTAGCGAAGTCGTAGTATATATATATATATATATCGTCAAATAGAATTGCCCGGTAAACCGTAGGCAGAGAGGGAGAAGAGGACAACAAACGAGGGGCTGTGACAAACTGTTTCGTCGGAGTTTCACCGACTCATCAGGAGGACGATATATATATATATATATATATTAACAGGTCCTTATGGTCCTGGCTCCATTTCCATTCTGGGGACCGTCAGTTCGGTCCCTATTCCCCCGGCAAGTCAAAATTAAAATACATGGAGTACACGCTCACGCTTCCTTCCGTATGGCCGAAGGATCCCTGACCAGCATTGATTACTCTCGTGTAGGAGGATTGACTGTCAGCTTGCCCTACCCACTTGTTCCTCTAAGGCCCCAAGCCAGGGCCTGCTAAATAAACCTCTGCAAAACAAGACAAGTGAGAGGTTCAGCTTCCATTTGAACTCGTATGTCTTTCTCACTCCCTGCTCATCACACTGCTCGTTTTCATGCTCGTCGTACTGTTCCTCCTTCGTGGACTTCAAGGCATTCTGTTGCCTAGAAGCTAAGCCTGATACCACTTCTTCCATATCAGCCTGTTGTCCGTTATGGTGGCGACCTTGCCCGTTAACACCCAGTCCCTCAGGAATGCACATCTTTGGACTGCGTGCTTTTCTGGTCTGTGTTTCAAGGGTGAATATATATTTCGCCATCTGCTCCGAATTTCGCTCTTGTTTAGCAGAAGAGTCCACATTTCCTCCTTTGCCACCTCTGCTCCCTCAATTGTCTGTGTGCATCTGCATTTTGATATGACCCAGAGTGCCAGTTTTCTGAGTAGATTGAACCAGACTTCCCTGCTGCCATTGAGGTTCCCAGGAGTATTAGAGATGAGTAGAATAGTTAGAGGCGAAGTGTTGAGGGGTGGTGCTGAGAAGAGGATAGACCATGGGTCCTGAACTTTGTTCCAGATCCAGGTCGCTTCTGGACAGAAGAGAAGGTCGTGAGGGATATTTTCAGGTGTGTTGTTGTTGCACAAAACACAGAGTTCTGAGCTGCCTGTATCTCAGTGTTTCCTTCTTTTATGGAGGGGTGCATGTGCTAGGAGCCATTGCATGCTGCGGATTCTAACATGCCTTATAAGAAGGTGGTTGGTCCAAGGAATGGTGAATCGGTTCGAAGGGTCTAGATTCAGGATGTTCTGCCATTTCTCTACTAGCCTGGGGTTTGGAACTGTAGTCTGCAGCCCGAGGTCGTAGCCGAACTTCACTTCGTACTCTGAAGTCGTTCTTGATTTCCCCTTGGTGCCCTGCTTCCACCTCCATTCCTCTTCTCCCCCCCCCCCCCCCTTTAAAACAGGTCCTTATGGCCCTGGCTCCATTTCCATTCTGGGGAGCGTCAGTCCGGTTCCTATTCCACCGGCAAGTCAGAAAAGATAGTATAACATGAGCACTTCACACACACTTCCTTCCGTACGACCGAAGGACGCCTGACCAGCATTGACTACTCCATCTATATGGAGGATTGACTGTCAGCTTGCCCCACTAAACCCTTTCCTCTCAGGCCCACTGAAGGATCCTGTCAGTTAGAAACGAGAAAACCAAGAAAGTCCCTTAGCAGCGACGACCACTCCCACCCCTCAGCCTCCCCCCCAAAAAAACTGACTATTGTCTATCAAGCTGCCTTAACCCTATTTACATTACTTTACAGTAGGCCTAGCCTCTGCTACCTTGACCCGGCTGGCTAAAACCCTTAAATCCTAAACCCTCGAGTCGCTAAGGGCCGGCTAATCCCTTTTACCCTAGCTCCTCCCCTATTCGCCCAAGTGGTGTACCTTCTCTACTAGCCTTCTATTGGCCTGTAAACTGTGGTCCATAGCCACTCATGTGTCCTCACTTCCAGATCCATAACTTGTACAGTACCTATCCTTTC